ACCTGTTTCATAGAAATCCAAGAGCACCTATTAAACACTACAGAATTCCTAAAATTCCAGAATCCCCACAGTACAGCAGAGCTCACAACATTCAGTTGCTTGCATTTTTTGGCGCACAGCCAGTATTTAGCCACAGATTCAAAACCAACCACAGAAATATTGAAGACAGTATTAACCTCAGCCCAAACTAGCCTAGCTACCACACATTCAAAAAGCAAATGACGAACAGATTCAATCTCCTTGCAAAAAACACACTCCAATGGCTTCACTATGCCTCTCTTCCTAAGATTATCACAAGTCATGATTTTATTCTGTGAAAAGAGCCATAGGAAGCCTTGCACCCTGGGTGGAACTTTCACACTCCAAACAGCAGGGAGGTAAACAGGTTGCACACCCCTGAAATTCACAATGGCATACAGAGATCTAGAAGAATAAACCCCTTTTGACTCATATTTCCAGATCAAAGAGTCAGCCTCCTGGGAGAAAACAGTCAGTGACAAAATTTCAACCAATTCAAACCATTGTGACATCAGCTCATCTGAGAAGGTCCTCCTGAAGGTGCATTTGAGCTCCTGGCCATCCCAGATCTCTGCAATGGTTTTGTTTTTTTCATTCACCAAGACATACAAGTCCCAGTATTGGGTAGCTAAGGGAGTGTTACCATACCAGGTATCCTCCCAGAATCTAATCAACCTACCATCACCCACTTGCCACTTGTACCCCACTTTCACAGCCTGCAATGCCCACATCAACCCTTTCCAAAACTGGGAGGGGTGTGGATCTCTACAGCAAAGGATGTTGGGGCTTTTAGTATTATATTTGTTACCTACAATTCTCCTCCACAAAGAACCCTCTCCAGCAATGTATCTCTTAACCCAAGATCCAATCAGGCAGAGGTTCATATCTTGGAGGTTTGGAACCCCATACCCCCAAACTCTCTTTTTCATGCAAATGGAAGGCCAGTTAACCAAATGAATTTTATGAGCACCATCGGTGTCACTCCATAGACAATTGGCCATATGGGAATTAATCAAATTAAGATCCCACTTAGGGAATTTGAAAAAAGACAGGAGATAGATAGGGATGCTAGCTAAGCAGGTTTTAATAAGAATAATCCTCCCTAAATATGACAACAACTTTCCTCTCCACCCTGCTATTCTTGCCAGAATCTTATCAATCAGGTATTGCAGGTCCTCCCTGCTTAATTTGTCATAGTGTAATGGGATGCCTAGATACTTGATAGGGAAGGATCCCACCACACATTGGAAAATGTCTACAAACTCATCCAACTCCTGTGGAGCAACATTTATGGGAACTAAAGCACTCTTGTGGTAGTTGATTCTCATACCAGACACCTGTTCAAAACAGGTAAGAATCCATTTAAGATTTAAGGCTACTCTACTATCCTTTTCTAGAAACAATAATGT